GGTGTGGTGGCTAACGCCAAAAATGTCAGCACTCCAGCACTTGGGAGGCTGAGGCAGGAGAATCACTGCAAGTTTAGGGGCAGCCTGGGCTACAAAGTGAGTTGAAGGCCACCCTGAACTATAGAGACACCTTGTTTAAAAAATTTTTTTTCTGATGGTCCTTCTTAGTAACCAACTATCGAATTATAAAGACCTGTACATCTCTTAAATGTGATTACTGTGTGTCAGCTTAGCATAAATGGATTTGCTGTTGGTGCATTGGGAAGTCAGCTTCTAATTAGCACTGGACATCTCGACTGGTTATGAAGTATACTTCACCACTTGAAGCCTTTTGGAAAACAGCTAACCAGACATTTCTCTAGTCAATACCAAAGGGAAGTTATGAATCAGTTGCTTGTATGTTGTCCCCCACACATTTATTTATTTATTTATTTTTGGTACCAGGACTCAAACTTGGGACCTTTCACTTGCCAGGCAGGCACAGGCCACTGAGCTACATCCCCGGCCCTCTTGTTCTATTTTTTGAGGCAGGGTCTTGCTATGTAGTTCAGGCTGGCCTTGAACTTACAACCCTCTTGTCTCAGCTTCCAGAGTGCTGGAATTATAGGCATGTGCCACCACACCCAGCTATGCATTCTATAATGAAAATTTAACTGTTTCTTTCTGCTCTTTATAATAAATTTTTAAATCTATAAATTCTGAAGGCTTAGGTTTTCTAAGTGTATCATGATGTTATTACTTGCACAAATTTAATTAATATATTAAAATTCTCAAAAACAATGTAAAATGGGCTGGGGATTTAGCTCAGCAGCATAGTGCCTGTCTGGCAAGGTCCTGAGTTTGATCCCTGGTACAAAAAAAAAAAAAAAAAAAAAAAAAAAAAAAAAAAAAAAGTTCCATTTTTTTCGAAAAAAAAAAAAAAAAAAAAAAAAAAAAAAAAAAAAGTAATAACGAGATCCCTGTTTTGTCCCTGAAAATGAAAATTACTTATTTAAATGATGATAAAATATAAGGATTTTATTTGAACATCACATTGTTTATGTTGCATGTGAACTGCAGGGACCAAAAAAAATGGTATTCTTATAGAGTTTCATATACTACTAGTTTCCTATAGTCAAAAAAAACTTTTCAAATTACAAGCCAATGTATGATAAACTTTCAAGTATTATTATTTTTTTGGTGCAAGTATTAAGGGTTATGTCCCCTACCCCCAGTTTATAAGAATGTGGTTATATTCTGCAGTTTCTCTTTAATTATTTTTTTGTGGCTGTGAGGACTGAATCAATATGATAGGATTCTTTTTTTATCATAAAGCTGCACCTTCAGCCCATTTACAATTTTCTTCCCTGTAATTCAAGAAGATTTCTATCTTACTTGCTTTAAAGTTCATGGGATTTATGGGTCATTTCTAGTTTTTATTCCCTATAAAGTGAAAATGACAGCCTTTGTGTTGTGTACCCCGCATTTGTTTGAGACACAGTTGAGCTATGCAGTCTCAGTTCCCCAAACACTCATACCACACCCAAACTGAATTTCAGTCACTTGCTATTGTTATTTTAAGAGACAGGTAAAAATCACCATTATCTGCTTTCTTATTTTGTGAGGCCGGGTAACTTCTCACATAGTTTACCAAACATTTATTCAGTGTATATAGGTGAACTGCCTATTCTTGTCACTGGAGGACTTTACAGATTTTTTTTCACCACCTTAAACAAATCCTAAATTAGCCATTTACTTTTTTTTTGTGTGTGTGTGATAATGGGAATTGAACCAAGGGCTTCACATGCTAGGCAAGCATTCTATCACTCAACTGTAACACAGCTCTCATTTATTTAGGTATGTAAATACTGTCCTATTAGCTAGTCTGTTTTAATTCAATTTATGGCATTTTTTAACAATCAGCTAATAGTTTCAATATTTATGTACTCAAATTTTAAAAAATTTCTTCTTTTACTGTTTCTAGGTTTTATGTCCTACTCTTTCAAATCTCAAGATGTTAGCCATATGATCTCATCTTATTACTATTTCCAAGATTTTAAAAATTTATTTTATTGTTCTTGTTTTTTTTGAGAAAGGGTCTCACTACATAGTTGAGACTGACCTTGAACTTACTGGACAAGCCCAGGCTGGTCTTGAACTCCCAGCATCCTCCTGCCTCAGCCCCCTGAGTGCTGGGATTATAGGCGTGCACCATCACACCCGTAAGATTCTTTTAAATTTAAATCCTCTTGGAATTTATTTTGGTCCAAGGAGTAAACTAAGTATTAAAGACTTGCCTTTACCCCAAGAGAGCACCTGTTGTCTAACTTGATGTCATTTTATTATCTATCAAATCCTTCTATATTTGTCGGGGCTCTTTTTCCACTGTTCAGTGCCATATGGTCTTAATCACTATTGGTCACTTTTGTTAAGAAAGGGGAGAAGATATATATTCATTGAGCCCTCAGTTCACAAACTTGGTTCGTTCCATGATTCTGGTTGCAAACTGAGATGGACAAGAACCAAATTAAATTCACTGCTTGGGCTCAATCCAGTTTGGTTTGTAAACAGAATAGTAGAGAGAATTGAATTCCTGAACCAAGGCACCACTGTATTTGCAAAAAGGAAATAAAAAGATGAATAAAGGGGGCTGGGCGTGGTGGCGCACGCCTGTAATCCCAGCACTCAGGAGGCTGAGGCAGGAGGATCGCTGTGAGTTTGAGCCCAGCCTGGGCTACACAGTGAGTTCCAGGTCAGTCTGAACTACCTAGTGAGACCCTGTCTCAAAAACCAAAACACCCCAAAAAACAAAAAAACCCAAAAAGATGAATAAAGGGGGTGGGGAACAGGTTGGTGACATTTTGATATTGTAAATTTACATTTTAAATTGTGAACTGGGTATATGTATGAAACTTTACAAAATGACTAGATTTTTAATAAGTACTTTATAAATCAGCAGTATTAGTCTGTTCTTTTCAGAAATGTTCTAACCTCTCATTTTAAACATCAAAAAACTGGTTTTGCACACAGTGCTTTCTGATGGTAGTTAGCAGCTTTACACAGTCTCTTTAAATTCTCTCCCCACTTCTGTTTCTGGTATTCTTTTCCCTGACTGCCCTCACTTAAAAAGTACTATATTCCCTTTTCAGCTCAATGTTTTTTGGTACTGGAGATCGAACTCAGGACCTTGCACTTTCGAGGCAGGCAGCAGCACCACTGAGCTAAACCCCTGGCCTCCCTTTTTGTGTACTAATTGTACCTGCAACCTTACTTTCTTTTTCAATTCTAATCTATAATTACTGAATTATATATTCCCTTTTATCTCCTGATAAATCCTAAAGTCTGTTCAGTAACCCCTAAGAACCACCACAAAGACTTTTTCTCAAAACTAAAAATCAATTGCAATCCAGAATGTTTTGAGACAGTGTTGCCTATATGGTCATATTTTAATATTCTGGCCTTTGGACCATTTAAAACTCAAGATTTAAATGAATGAGGATGTAACCAATTCAAACTTACCCTATGTATTACCAAATATAATTTATTGCAGGAATTATACAAACTAAAAGTCTACAAATACTGTGTTCAGCACACTGTAGTCATTAATGTGGACTTTTGTTTTCTCAAGCTTTTTCCTATGTGGCTCTCCTTGGAAACTGTCATTTTAGCCAGAAGAGGGAGTAATGTCAAATACTAGGACATAATCTCTCCATTTATAGAAGGGCATAAGGATAGCACTATTAGATGTTTGTCCAACTTCATATCTAAGATACATTCAACTTTCTTCATTAACTAAGATGTAATCAAGGAAAACTTTATTTCCTGCTCAGTTTTGTTTTTGTTTTTTTTTTTTGGTACCGGGGATTGAACTTGGGTCTTTGCGCTTGCAAGGCAGGCCACCAAACCACTGAGCTAAATCCCCGGCCCCCCTGCTCAGTTTTTGAAGGTTTTGGTTTATATTTAGTGCTGTGCCACCAGCCACATCTATTTGAGGTAAATTTGGTTGTATTTAAGATAAAAATTCAGTTCCTTAGTCACATTTCAAGTTCTCAACACTCACATGTGGCTAGTGGCTATCATACATAGTAATGCAATTAGAGAATATGTCCATCGTTTGGAAAGTTCCATAAAGTAGTGCTGAGATAGGCAACTAAACAATCTAAAGCAGCATCAATAATGCTTTATGGGGAGCTGGGGATGTAGCTCAGCAGTGCAGCACCTGCCTGGCCAAGAGTTCAATTCCCAGTACAATAGAAAAAGTTTTATGGTTATAAGAGTGATATGAGTATAAACTATTGTATGATTTGTTTCAGCATGTGTGATGATCAGGGATGTGTCCTTCCCTTCCACCTTCTCCTCTTTCATTTTTAACTTCCCTGAAAGTACGCATTTAGGATGATGAAGAATACAGTCTCAAAAAAGTAAAACGTTCATTATTTGATCAAAGCTGTTCATGTAGCTAGAATGATTCCTTACATAAGTCTTGGTATAAATTATATGGATGCAATTATCAGCAATTTACCTAAAGATCAGCAACTTTGTAAGTCCCCTCCTTATCTGTATTACTAACTCATGAGTTATTTTCTCATACCTGATCATTGCCACTGCTAGGTTTTAGCCTTTTACCAAGTGCCACAACCCAGATACATAATACAGAAACATTCAATTTATGGATATCCTTACTTCCCACATCTTGGCATTTCAGTCACATGTATGTATATAAAACCAGCTAATGATGACTGGTGGAGCTAATGAACAAGCTTCAAATCTGAATATATTCTAATCACTTACCAATAATGTTTTTTAATTATCCCTGACAGCTGTTACCACTTCCTCTTCCTTGAGTAATGAATCTAAGTTAGGATCATATTTTTTTTCCTACCTGGAATAGATTAGATCTTTTCCATAGGAAGGGAGCTGGGATTGAGATGGAGCACAAGGGGGACTTCAAGAGTATGATAATATTCTATTTCTTAATTTAGGTAATATTTTACTTCCTATCCTTTAAAACAAAACTACAGAACACTGCAGAGGATCCTGGCTATCACTACTGAAGAATACATGGAGCAGGTCTCTTGAGGGCCCAATAAGGGATATATGGAGGAAGGGTGCATGTCTTCTAAAGACTTATCAGGTACAGGAAAATCACCCAAAGGGAACAGTTTTCTAACAGCTCTCAGGCACATCCTTGGAGACACAACAGTATTATGAAGAGTATGGGCCTGGGGATTTAGCTCAGTGGTTCCGGCAGCTGCTTCGCAAATGCAAGGACCCGCGTTTGAACCCCAGTACCAAAAGGACAAAAAAAAAAAAAAAGAAGCATGAGTATTTCCTCCCCTACATAGTTCACTGATGGTTGTTTTCTACTGCTCATACACCCCCTTTCAAATTTTTCCTCCCCTGTTTTATGAGACTTACCTCCTAATTACTCATATATGCACCTCTGCTTCACACAAGTGAGCCCACTCAGCTTGCTCCTGGCACTGCCAGCTCCAAAGCACAGCTGGCACTATAGAACTCATCTTGTCCTCGAGATCAGAGCTAGGGAAGTCAAACTCTAAACCTGTCTCCCTAGGCAGAGCAGTTTTTTGTTTTGAAATTCTGCTGGGGAGATGGTGGATTTGGGCTTCTGTGTACAAAACTGATTAGTCCTACTCCACACTCTTTCATAGGCCAGCTGAAACTCTGGGCAGAACTATTCAATGGAAACCAGTAAGTTGGTGTTTTCTTAATAAAAATTAAAATGTTCCCAAGAGTACTAATTAATATTTTTAAACATTCACTTTAAAAAAGAAAAAGAAAAAAAAAAAAAAAAGAATTGTCTCATATTTTTTCTCCCCTTCCTGAATGGCTAGGGACTTAAAATAATTCAGTGGAATTTACTGCTCATCTTTTATACTTACTCAGCTTAACTAATGTTTCAGTAAATTTTTCACAGTTGATTGCAACTCGGCATAATAGATGGATGAATTGATGATAAGAAAAGAAGTAGTCTAGCAGCATACGATCATAAACGTCATCTTTGCCCTGAAGGTTAAAGATGATAAAATGGTTGCACTTAAATTGTATAATAAAGAGCATATTTTGTGCAAATGTAATAAGTTTAACTAAAAAGCCGATTAAATCTTTAATTCTATAAGAACCTAGTTTTAATTTGTTTATTTTCGGTGTGCAAATGTATCAGTTAAAATTACCCATTATTTCCTATATACTTTAATAAAATTACTGTAGGACTTTAACATGTGACGCTTTAGTTCTACAGACATAACAAGAAGAAGGAATTAAATTTGATTTTTGAAAGAGATCTTAAATTATTTCTGTAAGGGTAACTACAGTGTTAATTATTTTTAATATTTTATCTTATGGTAATTTCTCAAGTATACGTAAGAGCCAAAGACAGTGGGCAAGATAGGGTGAGAATGAAGTGTAGGTAGAGAAAGATAAAAGGGCAAAAATTGTTTTAAAAAGAATGTTATAACTAAGATAAACTATCCTATGTCAGTGTACCTTGGTTCAGTATTTAGAATCAGCATTATTTTATAGTAAGCATTAAAAGAACAGAAACCAGAATAAAAATGATGATAAATCTATCAGTGATATTATACACAGGTAAAAAAAAAAAGAGTATGGTTTAAGGGCAGAAAAAGAAGGCTTGATTATATGGCCAAAATTTAAAATAGTTAAGTACCTAACTTAACTTTTCAGATTTAGATGTATAACACAGTTATAATTTAACCTAATGACAAATACTAAGGCTTAGTACTAAGCTATTTTTTGAGGGGGGGGAAAAAACCTTACTACTTGTGATTATTGTTGATTTTGCAAATATTTAACCAACATTTCAGAGCACTAAAAAGGAAAAAAGTCCAAATGAGTCAAATCTTCTTAGGATCCACAAAATTTTCAGTTAAGCCTAATATACTCATAACTGCCAGGGGGGTAATTTCAAATTACTTCGTGCTACAGAAACATGATTTTCCTGGCATCCCAACATACCTTACTGGTTTCCACCATTGTGGGCAAGAGGCACATATTGAGTTCAGGGCGCGGAGGCCGAATATTGCTTTTCCCTCCTATTAGCTTGATATTTTCTCGACAAGGGAAATAAGGTCCAAGAGACACTAAGACATTAAAAGTGTACAGTAAGAATAAATGGAAAAAAAATAAATCTCCAAGCTTCAGTGTGCAGAATGATTAAATACTAACCATATTCAAGTATTGTGCTAGATGAATACGTACTTGGTATATTACTGTGATGGTAAGTACAGTGGTTATGTTGTAGAAATGGAACCAGAGTATGAAGAAAATCATGCGGACTCAAAAGCACGAGTTCCTTGAGGATATCTGAAAATTAAAACACAATTTGGGTATTAAAGTGCTGGAGTTATATCTATCTACTACTTTGAAACGCACAATCTCTGATGGGGACTGCAGTGTGGCAATATTGAAAACTGTTTTATCTACTGATATAGAGAAATTCTGTCTGATGTTCAATCAAAATTTGCATCAGGAGTTAATAACCACAATATAGGATCTTCATTCAGGAAGAAAAGTTTAACACGTTCATGATGTGGCTGTAATTTATGTCTCACTGCTGGGCAGTACTGAACCACCAGTGGTACATGCATGGATGTCATCAGGCAACATGGGACAGTCATGCATGTACCACCAGTAGTTTAAGCCAACGGGACTGTGTTAAAGCACTATTTTATTAGTGTTTATTTCAAAAAGAGAAGCTTCATGGAGAAGTAGAGTGAAATATTTAATACACATTGACTGTGTCTTTATAAAATCAACTACAACAGCTAGAACTAATCTAAAGTTCAAAATCTTTGGTTTTACAGGATAACTGATAACTTTGTATTCTACTATTAAAGTTTTATGCTGCTGGCTGGACTGACTCTCTCTCTTGAATCACACAGGAATAAAGCTCATAGTAACAGGCTACTGGCAAAGTTTGTGGTTAACTGAGATTACTGCTATGTGCCCCTCTCTCACTGGAGAACAAGAAATTAGGTGAGTTATTGTATAGGACATCAAATTACTCACATATGACAGCCAGAGTTACTCATTTTACTATGAAATTGTTAATAAACAGCTACATCTTTTAAAGATCATGACTTTATGGTAAAACATCCACTCTAAATTTTAACGGAGTATCTTTTTTTTTTTCCCATGGAGTATATTTTAACAGACAAAATTTTCATTTTATTATAAATATGCAATCAGTAGTAAGGCGAAATACTCAAGAGCCTAAGAACAGCTGAGAAGTATCTTTAGGCAAAAGAACTCGAAAAGCAATAACCATCCCAAACCAAGGGCCAGGGATTTAGCTCAGTGGTTCTGCCACTTGCCTCCCAAGCACAAGGACCCGAGTTTGATCCCTGGTACCAAAAACAAAAAACAAAACAAAAAACCATAGCCAAACCTTTACAATGCCAGTTGTACCCTGTAAACATCTACATGATGCTTAGAGCTGGATAACTGAAGGTCAAAGAGCCCAGATACACTTGAGTGACCAGGTCATGAGCACATGGCTAAGTACCAACAAGTTAAAAAACGAAACTTTATTTTCTTAGGATCTTCTAGCCAGCGTGTTAAACATAAAAGTATAAATGTCTTCTATACCCTACAGACCTAATATCACATTTCAAACAAAACAAAAAAACCTCACAAAATGTTTCTCCAGTAGATTTTTAAACATTGGTGCACTTTTAAAGTAACTTACCTATACAGGCATTTCTTAGTTCTGGAGGGCTATAGGAATTAAGAAGAGTTAACAGTTTATGGGCAAATTCAATTCGCTCTTGCCATTGGATTAATGCTTGTTTCACATCTGTAAATATAAAAGCATACATAAACATGCTTTTAAGAGATCACAATTTTTTTCTACTGTAAACTACAGAATGCTAACACTAAAAATTCTACTTGCATGAAAACATTTTTAGCAAATGCTAAGTGATTATTTTCATGAGATGGCTACTACTCCCATTAAACCTGCTAGATTTTATAAAGTGCATATTTGGTGATGAAGATGTCCCATTTACTAGTAATATATATGAAGGTTAGTGTTCACACTTACAGAGACATAAGAGTTGTTTTACATTTATTTCTCTTAAAGCTAAAAATGATCTACTCTAAGCCATGGAGGTTTCCAGCTAGAGAATTTTCACAAAATATACAACTTGTTACTATGCTTGGAAATGTTTCCCAATCTCCAAATTCTTGACACTTACAGCATGCTTGCGTTTTCAGGCAGGCATAAGAAAAAAAGAGCATTCTAGCTTTGTATAAGGGGATCATGGTGGACATTTCCTGATGGCTACATAGCTTAGGCCTCATCTTCTGTACATAAACCAGACATACAAACAATTTCTTTGAGCCTGTGATTTAAAAATATTCTCTCTTTAATAGTAGCCCTAACAAACAAAGAAGTAAGAATGACCAAACCTTTTCTCTGAAGATATGGGCGTGTAGACTTCAAAACTGAAAGGAATATTGACAGAAGTTCTACCAAGTCTCCAGTCACATGGCAAGCTGTAGCTTCATGATACATCATGTGCAATGTGTTGAAAGACTATAAGTGATTTAAAAAAAAGATGAAAACTTAAATTTCATTTTTACTTTCTTGAGCTACAAAATGGTAGTGGCTCAATCCTCTCCAACAGATGCTTTCAGACTTAGATTATATTTGTGCACATATAAGACAAATATTTGCTTTCTATTCCAAAGTCATGTTCTCATTCAGATCTTTTAAAATGTATAGTCATCATTTTTTTTTTTTTTGGTACCGGGGATTGAACTCGGGTCCTTGCGCTTGCAAGGCAGGCCACCGAACTGCTAAGCTAAATCCCTGGCCCTTAAAATGTATAGTCATCTTTAGTGCCCTGACATTTTGTGTATTTTAGTCTAAAAAATTAATTTGTTTAATTACATTTTTAAAAACACTTAAAAAATAAAACAAACACTGTTCTAAGACTATAAACTTTAGAAAATACAAAGCAATTAACAACAGCAGATTAGAAATAACAAGTACTGGCTGTAACTTTCGAGGGCCTCTGTAGAAAGACAACTTTCATTGGTTTTTAGCCATACTTAAAATAGCAGTCCTGAATGAGGTAAAAGCTCCAAAAGGTAGGAATTCAATTCCTTAAATTGCTCAATTTTATCTTTTATTTCTTTAACTATGTTAACCTAACTAAAACCTTAGTATTTCCCTTTTTCATTTTATAATGAAGCATTGTTTCTACTCTTGCATCAGTTCACCATAGTCTAATATATTATTCATAGTTCAATGTTCAAAATTCTGAGCTTAGAGTTTGTAGCAGACCGAACAATGTACTTTTTTAGTACTGGACATGTAAGCATTAAGGACAGGAACTATGTATGTCCTGTATATTACTAGTATTTAGCACACTGCTTGTCATAATGTAGACATTCAAATGTCTGCTGAATCAAAGAATGAAATTCTCTTCACTATATGTATATACTACATGTGTGTGTGTGTATATGTGT